AAGACGCAGGAGGGGAAGAAAAGATTAAAATAGAGGTCCTAAGAGAAGCTGAAAGTTGCTCTTGAATCTAGAGACGCTAAAGCCACTGGAAGAAATGATGACGTAAAGGAGTTCAATAGAATATTTCCAGGGGGATAAGGTAAAGGATTAGAATGAAACATGCAAACACCTGGAGTTAGAAGATCAAAAGGTCAGGGGATGCTCAGCCTATCTCAAGCAGAAATAACTAAAGAAAAAAAATCAAGGCTTAAGTTGTACTACTGAAGGATTCTATGTACAAGACAGTGAATGATGCAGGAGACATCAAAAGGAAAAGGAAAACACAGTCATTGAACCAAAAGGAATTGGCCAACCTCTAACCACTACAAGAAGTAGCATACGCTCAAGAACAGACGGCACTGGATGAAGAAAATCTAAGCTGTACTGAAGGTACTGGTGGAAAAACAAAACTACAGGAGTGGGCAGAATCTCAAGTAGGATGTTCCAACAACGGGATGCAGTGCTGGAAGTGCGGCCTCATCTATACTAAGAAACTGGAGAGACAACCACCTGGCCAAGACCGGAAGAGGTCCAGAGTTGTATCCATTTCGAAGGAAGGTGATCCAACAGAATACAGAAACTACTGAACAACATAATTAGGATCATAGGCGAGTACAATTTGGCTAAAGATAAATCAAAACTAAATGTAGCAGTTCATCAACAGAGCGTTGCCAAAAAGTCAAACCAGATTCAGACGAGAACGTGGAGCAAGAATTATCCAGTGGATCTTTATTGAAAGTAGGGACTGGCTGGAAGGTATTATTGGTGTGTTCTTGACTACACAAAATCATTTGACTGCGTGGATCACAACCAACTACGGACAACATCCGGAAGAAAAGGAATTCCAGAACACTCCACTGTGCTTAGGTGGAGTCTGTACAGAGTCAAGAGGCAGTTGTTGGAACACAAGTGGATGCTGTGTGGTTTAGAACCGAGAATGGTGTGGGTCGGGGGGGTGTTTTTTCAACATAACCATTTAAGCTGTGTGCTAAGCATCTGAGAAGTTGGGCTATGTAAGGAAGAAAGTGGCCGCCAGACCGGAGGATCAGTCTTGAACAAGATGCAGTGTGCATGTGACACAGGGGTGCTTGCTGACAGCATGGAGGCCTTGAAGCACGTGATGGAAATCAAAGATGCTAGCCCTTGGCATAGACTAATAACTTAATCCATAGTATAGATTACAACTTAATGTAAAAACAAAACAAAAACCTTCAAAGCTGGGCCAATACATTTCATAATGATAAACAGAGGAAAGAGAGAAACGATCAAGGATTTCATTTTACTTAGATCCACAACCAATCATCAGTGTGCATGGAAGCAGCAGTCAAGAAATCAAAGGATGTATTGCCCGGGGCAAGTCTGTTGCATAAGACCTCGTTAAAGAGTCAAAGATCAAAGATGCTGTTTCGATGACTTACGTCCACCTGACCACAGCCACGGTCTGCTCAGGCCCTGCGTGTGCATGGAAGTCGAGCACCGAAAAGGAAGCCTGCAGAGTAACTGGTCGTTTGAATCCTGGTGCCGGCAAAGAATCTTGAAACTGCCAGAACAACCAGATCTGTCTTGGAAAAAGTCAAACCAGAATTTTCTTTAGAAGAGAGGATGGTGAGACCTCATCTCATGGACTTTGGACGTGTTACCAGAAGAGCCCAGTCCCTGGAGAAGGCCCCATACTTGGTCAGAGAGCACAGGTCCGTGATAAAGAGGAAGCCCCTCAATGAAGACGGACACCGTGGCTGCAGCAATGGGCTCGGGCGTCAGACAACTGCGAGAAGGGCGAGGGCCTGGGCAGTGTTTCCTTCTGGCGTACACAGGGTTGCGATGAGTCGGAAGTAACTTAGCAGCACCTAACAATGACCACTTGATGGGGATGTTTAAAAAATTGGGTTGTTATTTTTGTTTGGTTGTGTGCTTGTCTGCTTCACATTTTTAACGCCGTCTCTATCGACTGCAGAAAAAGGGAGCAGCCCGCCTGGGGGGTCAGCCGTTTTCTCCTGTGTAGGCCCCTAACACACACCTCGCCCACTGCCATCAAATCTATTTGGGGCCATAGTGACCCTGGAGGACAGGGTTAACTGCCCCATAGGGGTTCCAAAGCTGTGCTTTTTTTTTACAGGGGGGAGGGCACCTCTGGCTCCTGCAGAGCCACTGGTGGGTTCAGCACCCACCTTTCCCTTGAACCTCTGCCCCTCAAGGCTTTTTGTAAAATCCCAGCTGGTACACAGTTTAAGCTTTGCAGACCCTATGTCATTCTCCCATATTCTCCCTCTTTCAAAAAACAACAACAATCTGTGTGTTGTGCATTGGTGTGGATTTACACTAAAGATCAACTTTGTCACCAACACTTTAGGCTACCAGTCAATCCCCTACACACAATAGTCTACCCTCAACCCTCTTGATTTCTCTTCTCCCTCTACCGTCTTTAGTCTCACCCAAGTAGCACCCATCAATCCTCCAGCTTTTTGCTTCATCTTTCCTCCCTTCCCCTCCCTACTCCTGGGCAATCTCCAAAGTTGGATCCCTTTAGCATGGACGTCTTTATTTTGGTTGTGGGTTTTGTGTCCCTCTTCTAACAGTGGTCTCCATAACATGTGCCCTCAGCGCAAGGTTCTCCAGGTCTATCCAAGCCAAGAGAAGCCGGGGGGTTTCGTGATCGTTCTTCATATATGCATCATATTCCATTGTGGATTCGTACCAGCATTTCTCCTTCCATTCTTCTACTGATGGGCATTTAAGGGATTTCCACTTTCTTGCTATTGTGAACAGCGCTGTACTGAACAGGGATGTGCATCATTTAGTTCTTTTAAACTCTAAAAATGTAAAAAACAGTTGGCAAGTAATTGAAAAAGCAGGTGCTGTGTTTTCTGGTTTTTGCTGACTCCTGATATAGTGGGGTTTTGTTTATTTGTTTGATTGTTTGTTTAATGACACTATAATTTACTCAAAACACCACTATTAAAATTGTGGTAAATATCCTCTAAGACATTTTACATGCATATTTTCATGAAATCTGACTAAGTACTATTTTGTAACCTGCTTTTTTTATTTAACAAGAAGTCATTAATGCCTTTCTTTGTCAGAACTGGATGAAGAAAGTATTGCATGCATTATCTAAAGAGCTAACAAAATTTATTCAAGTAATTCTCTCCTGAAACATTTTTAGGTTGCTTCCCATTTTTCACTATTATAGATGCTACTCCAACATAACTTTAGGATAAATATTTAGAAATTAGTTTCTGAATGAGAGAGTATACATATTTTAAAGTCATTTGCTAAATATTCTCAGATCACCCTCCAGAAAAATCGCACCAATTTATGCAACCCTCCCACCAGTAGCATGAGCATACATACTTTGTAATCTTCCCCCAAAATAGAAATGGCCACTTTCTATCTTTAACAAGCGGGTAGACAAATGGTATCTTAATGCTTTCCTTTGAATTTTTTTTAATAAGTAGCAAATATATTGATGGGGGATATCATTACCGATGTCAGATGTGTCTTGGCTGAAATCAGAGAATACAAAAAAGAAGTTTATCTATGCTTTATCGATTCAACCATGTTAAATCAAAGCAAATTATGGATAACATTGCAGAGAATGGGAATCCAGCACATAGCTTGCTCATGTGGTACCTGTATATAAACCCAAACACAGCCCTTCAATCAGCACGAAGGGATGCTTGTGTGGCTTAAACTCAAGAAAGGTGTCCCTCTCACCGTAGTTACTCACTAATCGGAGGAAATGGGCTGTCTGAAGAAGAAGGCAGCACCCGGGTTCGAGGAGGGCTCGCTGACAGCCCGCGACATGCAGCTGATGGATCACTGCTTGCTGGACGTAAAGAGGTCTCGAAGAACATGAGGAAGAACTGAGCTCACAGCCTTCAACACGGATGACATCTCAACATGCAACACAACTCCTCCCAACTGGACCAATCAGCAACATTAGGATCAATGGAGAAAAGATCGATGCTGTCAAGAATTTCATTGTACTTGAATCCACCATCAACATCCTTGGAATCAACAGTCTGGGTATCAGAGGATGTATCCCATTAGGCAAAGCTACTATGAAAGAAAAACATCTTGTTTTCATTGTGAATTGGGTAAAGGCTTACCAAGCAAGTCAGTTCATCATTCAATAATGCGTGCACATCCACGTCCTATCCTTGACAATACCTCCCGCCAGGTAACATCACTGATAGTCCATCTTCCCTGTGTTTGCTGTTTCCCTCCTCCTCCCTAACCTTCTGAACTCTGTCCCTGGGGAAATACTCCCCTTCTCATCCAGTCTCTGCTTTTAGCCAAGACCCATCTGACGGTCGATCGGCAGTGATCTCCTTCATAAACATATTTCCAAGTTGTTAGGTAAATTAAAATGAAAGCACGAAGGTACAATTTTTACTTATCAGATTGCTAAAGGTCTTTAAAAAATAGTCATTTCTATTTTGGTTGAAGATCGTCAAATATGTCGTACAAATTGGTGTAACTTTTCTGGAGAGTGTCTGGGAATATTTATCAAAGGACATTAAAATATGTATCATCTCCCATCCAGAAACAAATGGCTAAGAATGTATCCTCAGGTGAAGCTGGAGTATTATCTAGCCTAGTGAAAAGTGGGAACTGTCTCCATGCTCAAGGAGCGGAGGCAACTCCCGAAAACCTCGTTGGGGCGATTCAACACTCTGTATGCAGCTTTCATAAGGAAAGGGGAGGTAGCAAAAGAGGAGGCACCTAGATTTCAGAAAACATGCATTGAAAAATGTCTTAAAGGATGTACACCGTGATTTTAATTGTGTTATCTTTGAGTAAATTAGTTTCACTTCTTAAAAACCAGTATCAGGAGTCAGCAAATGATGGCACCTGTTTTTCTATGCCTTGCCGGCTGAGCGTGGCTTTGACATTTTTAAAGAGTCTTTAAAATACAAAATACAGCTTTGGGCCTGGAGCACCCCAGCAGATAGAAAGCCTTTGAGGCGGCTCCCGGCGACATGGCTGACACCCCCAGGGAGGGAGGGCTGAAACAGGCCCCCGCACCACGAAATGAGAAGGCGCCCGTGGACTTCGGCTACGTGGGCATCGACTCGATCCTGGAGCAGATGCGGAGAAAGGCTATGAAGCAGGGCTTTGAGTTCAACATCATGGTGGTCGGGCAGAGCGGCTTAGGGAAATCCACCTTAATCAACACGCTCTTCAAATCCAAAATCAGCCGGAAGTCCGTGCAGCCCGCCTCAGAGGAGCGCATCCCCAAAACCATCGAGATCAAGTCCATCACGCACGATATTGAGGAGAAGGGCGTCCGGATGAAGCTGACGGTGATTGACACTCCAGGTTTCGGGGACCACATCAACAATGAGAATTGCTGGCAGCCCATCATGAAGTTCATCAACGACCAATACGAGAAGTACCTGCAGGAGGAGGTCAACATCAACCGCAAGAAGCGCATCCCGGACACGCGTGTGCACTGCTGCCTCTACTTCATCCCGGCCACTGGCCACGCCCTCCGGCCACTGGACATTGAGTTCATGAAGCGCCTGAGCAAAGTGGTCAACATCGTCCCGGTCATTGCCAAGGCCGACATGCTGACCCTGGATGAGAGGGTCTACTTCAAACAGCGGATCACAGCAGATCTCCTGTCCAACGGCATCGACGTGTACCCCCAGAAGGAGTTCGACGAGGACTCCGAGGACCGGCTGGTGAACGAGAAGTTCCGAGAGATGATTCCGTTTGCCGTGGTGGGCAGTGACCACGAGTACCAGGTCAATGGGAAGAGGATTCTGGGCAGGAAGACCAAGTGGGGCACCATCGAAGTGGAGAACACCACGCACTGCGAGTTTGCCTACCTGCGAGACCTCCTCATCAGGACGCACATGCAGAACATCAAGGACATCACCAGCAGCATCCACTTCGAAGCGTACCGGGTGAAGCGCCTCCACGAGGGCAGCAGCCTCCTGTCCAACGGCGTCGAGGACAAGGACCCAGATGCACAGGAGATGTAACCCCGCCCGCCAGCCCCGCCCCGCCCCACCCCCAGGCTGCCCGCCCGCCGTCCGCCCCGCCCTGTTTGTTTTATTTTATATAATTTCTCCACTTGTCATCGCCCCGCCCCTACACGCTGCCCAGTAACAAGATCACCTGTCTCAAAAAAAAAAAAAATACAAAATACAGGAGAACATGCGACAGAGGCACACGAAATGGCCTGCAAATCCTAAAATATGTCCTGCCTGGGCCTTTACCAAAGTCCTGGTGGAGCAGCAGGTAAGCGCATGCTTGGCAGTTTGCACCCCGAGCTGCTCTGCAGGACAAGACTCTGCAGTCTGTCTCCATAAAGGTTTGCAACCTTGGGTCACCTTGACTCTGAGCTGACTTGCTGGCAATGGGTCTGGTTTCAGTGAGAGGCCCTTACAGTGAGAGTTTGCTGCCCCCAGCTCTCCATGGCTCTCCTCATTTCCAACAGTGAGACAAGGTTAACAGTGTCAAAGCAAGCATACACAAAACAACAACGAAGAGATAAAAAGGATGTCGTTTTCTAAGATGTCCTTACTGTAGTGATTTAAAATGAATTGATCTACTGAAGAATTAGGAAAAGAATTAAGAGAAGAATTGTAAAACTAAGAAAGAAATGTATGCTCAATGCAGGCTAAAAGTGATTTAGAAATGTGGCCCTGAGCTTCCTAGTGGCCAAGGCAAGAAGATGTACGTGATACAAGATCCACATGCTCTGAAAACACCCCAGGTGCTTAGGAGAAGTGTGATGGCTGTTCTTGACTGAGACAACACCAGCTCTGCCACGTCAGACAGTGAATCTTTCACTGATCGGACTGGTCCAGAGAGGGAATAAATGAACTTTGGATTGGTGAAAGGCACGTCTTTAATTTCAGGTATGACCTCCCTGTGGCTGCCCAGAGCCCTCTCTACCTCCTTTCTGCTTCTTGTTGGCTTCCAGATGCAGGTCTTTTAGGTATAAGAGTTCGGATCCCACAGCATTTACATGTGTGATCACTCTAAGTCACCCACCCGATGACCCCATGACATTAGGTAGCTCACATGCCGACACCCCCACCACCACCCCCAGCACTCCTCCAAGCCAGGGCTCTCTCCTTCCTGCATTCCTTGAAGAAAGTGCCCGGAACACCGGGCTGTCTGCAGAACATCCAGTCACTGGTCCCGTGGAAGAGCTCCTTTTCAGCTGCTGGGACAGACGCTGCCTCTGGAGGTCTGACAGAGTGAAGGACTGGAGCAGACAGACGTCTGCATTGTGAAGGACTGCTGGAAGGCAGTCACGGTGACACCAGCTAATGGGAAACGGTTCACTGGCCTTGGCGAGTGCACGCCAGTGCTCATTCCGTCTACCAGGAGATGTCACACGCTGGTTCTTCACGGCGGCGAAGGCTCTGCATGTGGGGCTGGGGAGCTTTGTCCAAAGCAGAGATGTCCAGACCCCCTCAGGGGAAGCCCGAGCTCGCTCGTGTTTCGAAACGTCTCCCTTGGTGTTTCAGATGCCCATGCGCAGCGGGACCCTCATGAGTGGTGGGCCTTGGGGTTTCCATCCTGACCTTCCCGCTTACTAATCCCATGACCTGAAGTGAGTGGCTTAGCTTTGCTGGGCTTCGTATTTCTCATCTGTGAAATGGCTTAGAATCCCCCCCAAATTCCAAACCTACTGCCCTCGAGTCTGTTCTGATTCACAGCGACCCTGTAGGGCCGCCAGAGGAGAGCTATTTCGGGGAGCAATTGTTGCTGTGAGGTGTCATCAAATGGGTTCTGCCCCATAGCGACCCTGTGCACAACAGAACCAGACACCGCCCAGTGCGGCGCCACCCTCCCCCTGCTCCTATGCCAGAGCCCGGGCCTGCAGGCTCTGGGGCATTTCATCTCATGGAGGGCTGCCCTCTTCTGCGCAGCCCCTCTTCCCCCATCCTCCTGACAGCATGTCCAATGGATGGGAGACATTGGAAGTCTTGTCCCCTTTGCCTCTAAGGGGCACGCTGGCTGTACTTCTAAGACAGAGCTGTGTGTCAGACCCAGGTCAGTCCATGGTCCTTTCAACACTCATCACCAGCACCACCATTCAAACACATGGATTCCTCTTCCAGGGTCCTTCTTCAATGGCCAACTCTCACAGGCAGATGAGGCAACGGAAAATACCATGGCTTGGTCAGACGCACCTTAGTCTTCAAAGTAACACCCTTGCTTTGCAACACTGTAAGGAGGTTGTGTGCAGCAGATTTACCCTGTGTGCAGCACAGGGGAGGAGAGGCCCCTTTAAGTGCTTACCAGGATGCTGAGCACAGCGACAGAGCTTACTGAAAGCCGAATCGTCAGCTCAGTTGGCTGGCACCCTGGATCCTGGTTCTAATGAGTGAACATTGGTCTTTTTAGGGCCTCGTCTTTGTGCCCACCCTTCTCCCATGTAACAGTGTCCCTTTACATCTGAACCTCTGACTTGGGCACCTGCAATTGTTCAGTGCCTTGAGAAGGACTGGGCAAGTCATGAAAATAAGAGAACAGAGCAGGGGTCAAAACACTGGACAGAAACACACCTTGCACACGACACCTGTAGGAATGAATCATCTTTAATACATAGAAGGAATGCAGTCTCCAATTTCCGTAGAAACTCGTGGTTTAACGTCTGCGGCTCCTGTTTTAATAGAGACACCGGAGAAATAGTTCCTCAGCAGAAGAAAAACAACATTGCAAATGTGCAGGGTGGCAGTGGGGTATCCAAGGGCCCGTGGAGGGGGTGGGGGAGCCCTGCCCATCTAAGCGGACAGTGGCCATTCCGCTTCAGCTGATCGACACCACACGGGAAGGTGGCTCAGTTTGATATGATTTTTTTTTTAAGAGAAAGAAGAATTTGGGTTTTTAAAGAGTTGGCTTCATTTTTGCTCATTTTTTAAAAATTAGTTTTATTGGCACATAATTCAGGTATCATATCATTCAATAGTTCAATCATATCATGAGGAGTTGTACAATCCTCACCCCATTCAATTTCAGAACATGTTCTTCTTTCTTGTGCTTACTGTCAGTAGCTCTCTATTTCCCCTCACTTTCCCTGCGACACCCCCAAGACACCATTCATCCAGCTACTGTCTCTGGATTTACCTCTCCTGGATTTCATATATAGAAAAGCATTCAAAAAATAAACCAATAGAAGCTCCAAAATTGGTGGTGAGGAGGGTGTAGGAGCCCTGGTAGGGTTTGATCAAGGGCAATGTAACCGTGAGGACACTTTGTTCTATTAAACCAGCATTCCATGATGCTCACCTTCCCAACACAATCACTGAAGACAAAGCAGGTGCACAGCAAATGTGGTGAAGAAAGCTGATGGAGCCCGGCTATCAAAAGATCTAGTGTCTGGGGTCTTAAAGGCTTGAAGATAAACCAGCAGCCATCTAGTTGAGAAACAACAAAGTCCACATGGAAAAAGCACACCAGCCTGTATAGTCAAGGTGTCAATAGGATCAGGTTTTAGGCATCAAAGAACAAAAAATCGTATCATTGTGAATGAGGGGGAGTGCAGAGTACAGACCCAAAGCCCATCTGTAGGCAACTGGACATCCCCTTACAGAAGGGTTGTGGGGAGGAGACAAGCCAGTCAGGGTGCAGTGTAGCAACAATGAAACATACAACTTTCCTCTAGTTCTTTAATGCTTCTTCCTTCCCCCACTATCATGATCCCAATTCTACCTTACAAATTTGGCTAGACCAGAGGATGTACACTGGTACAGATAGGAACTGGAAACACAGAATCCAGGACAGATGAACCCCTCAGGACGGTGGTGAGAGTGGCAATACCAGGAGGGTGGAGTGGAAAGTGAGCACTGATTACAAGGATCAATATATAATCCCCTCCCTGGAGGATGAACAATAGAAGAGTGGGTGAAAGGAGACGTTAGACAGTGAAGACATGAAAAATAATGATAATTTATAAGCTATCAAGGGTTCATGGGGGAGGAGCTGATACCAAGGGCTCAAGTAGAAAGCAAATGTTTTGTGAATGATGATGGCAACAAATGTACAAATGTGCATGACACAATTTTTGTATGTATGGATTGTGATAAGAGTTGTACGAGTCCCCAGTAAAATGATTAGAAGAAGAAGAAGCTAACAAGAATTACAAAGTAAAAGAGGGGAAAACTTCAATCAAAAAGAAAGTAGGAGATATTAAAAACTAGAACAAATTTAAAATGGCTGTTTGTAAAAAATAGTACCCTGTGGGGCAAGCAACCTGTATTCTGAGGTTGAATATGGCCCAAGAGCCTGAGTTTGCAACTACAGTCCTGAGTCAAGGAGCTGTCTGTCTTCATCCCTGACCCCAGCCAGAGCCCAGCGACCTGCGAGGCAGGCCTTCCACCACAGATTCACTCTGTCCACCAGGGGACCCTTAGGGCTCCCTGTCTAGGATGGACATGCAAGTTCTCTGCAGGGCTGACCAGAATGAGCCGGGTTGAAGCCCGGGGACGGCTCTGCAGTGGCTGGTGGTCCAGCAGTCTGCATCCTCGCACAAGCCGTGGCTGCTCTCTCCTCATCTGCAGGGCTGCTCCTGACCTTCAGAGAGTTCAGCGAGAGTAATCGTGCGGAGCACAGATCAGACGAGGGCTTGTTTGTTGAGAGGTGCTTTATAGCGAAACCAAAGGGGTGTTGGCCATGACCCCAGTTTCCCCATGCTCCGCTATGCCTCATTTACTGCAGCCCTTCAGGGCATGAATTGGGCGAAGGTGCTTTTTTCAGGGAAAGAGAGTTCCCATATCTAAACACCAGACATTTCTTTATAAGTGTTAGCCATTTTGCATTTCTTTCTAAAATATTTTAATGCCTTGTTTGTTTCACTTTGACTTTTTTTTCCTCATTGCTATATTCATCATGGAGCCATGGTTAAGTGCTCAATTGCGCAGTGGCGCAGTGGTTAAGTGCTCAATTGCGAGCCAAGAGGTCAAACGCAGTTCGAACGCACCAGCCTCTGCCCAGGAGGAAGACGAGGCTGTCCGCTTACATCAAGAGTGACAGTCCAGAAACTCAATGGGGGTAGTTCAGCATTGCCCGGTAGGGTCTCTGAGTCACAATCAACTGGAGGGCAATGGGTTTGGGTTTGGGTTTGAGATGCGTTGTTTGCAGAAAGAAAAGCACCTGA